TGTTGCTCGATCTAGTGCTGCGGCTGAATACCATGCAATGGCTCACACAACTTGTGAGCTAACTTGGTTGAGAAGCCTTCTACAAGAGTTCGGATTCTGAGTGCAAGATCCAACTCCTCTTTAATGTAATAACCAGACCGCCACTCATATTGCTAGCAATATAGTTTTTTTTTTTTTTGATAAGTAAATTGTATTAAAAGCGTTCAAAAAGGGGAACGCGACCCAAACTATACAAAGACAAAACGGAGCCTATGAATTCAAAGAGCTCATAAAATCAACAATCTCCTCAAGAGAGGAGTAGTCTCTCCCTTGACCCCAACAAAACAAATTACAAATGATAGAAAATTTTAACACCCCAATGGATGATTCCTTTCCCTCAAAAGATCTTCCATTACGCTCTCTCCAAAGGCTCCACCAAATACAAAAAGGGATCACCCTCCAAAAAACTCTGACCTGAGCCCCCACCCATTGGCCCTTCCACATATCTAACAACTCCCAAGATGACCGAGGCATGACCCAATGAATACCAAACAGGCCAAACATCAAACTCCAACAATCATGAGCCACAGGACAGTGCAACAAAAGATGATCCACCGACTCCCCATTAATCTTGCAAAGACAACACCTATTAACAATGATATGCCTTCGCTTCCTCAAGTTGTCCAAAGTCAAAATCTTTCTCCAAGCTGCAGTCCACACAAAAAAGGCCACCCTAAGAGGCGCCTTAGACCTCCACACCGTCTTCCATGGGAATGAGGTACCATGAAAACCAGAAAGGCACACAAAAAAGGACCGGACCTGGAACATCCCCTGAGAAGAAGGCACCCAAGTCAAGGAATCTACCCCAGACCCCTCCACCTCCTGTCCGTAAAGAAGAGCCAAAAACCCAGTGACATCATCCAGCTCCCAATCCTGAAAAGCTCGCCGGAAACGCACATCCCAAGACAACCTTCCACTATCAAGGCGATAGTAGTAAGCAACCATTGCATGTTTGTCAACAGCAATCCTAAAAAGCCTGGGAAACAATAGGGCCAAAGGCCTATCATCACACCATGGATCCTCCCAAAACCGGACAGTTCTTCCATCCCGAACTCTGAATCTAATATGTTTGGAAAAGGCATCCCACCCCTTACCAATGGCCCTCCACACCCCTACTCCGCTAACAGACCTGACTGGTCTAACTGACCACCCTCCTCTCTCCTCCCCAAAGCGACATGAGATAACCCTTCTCCATAATCTATGTCTTTCCTTACCAAATCTCCAAAGCCACTTACCAAGAAGAGCACAATTGAAAAGGGCCAATCTCCTAATTCCAAGCCCTCCCAACCGAATAGGCCTGCAAACCTGTTCCCATTTGACAAGATGATACTTGAACTCTTCTCCGCGACCCCCCCAAAGGAAATTACGTTGGAGCATTTCTAGTCTTCCAACAATAGAGGCTGGAATACGAAAAAGCGAAAGAAAGTACGTTGGAAGGCTTGACAAAGTGCTCTTCACTAACGTAACTTTACCGCCCTTTGACAGATATTGTTTTTTCCAACCCGCTAATCTTCTCTCGACCCGCTCAATCACCGGGTTCCAACTTCCCACCCTCCTAGCCGAGTCCCCCAGCGGCAAACCCAAGTACGAGATGGGAAAGCGTTGCGTCCCACATCCTAGAACAGCAGCCAGAGTGTCCACCTCCTGAACGTCCCCCACAGGAACAATCACACTCTTTCCCACGTTAACTTTCAAACCAGAAACAGCCTGGAAACAAACCAAAACACATCTCAGATACCTCAACTGGGAAATATCAGCCTCACAAAAAACAATAGTGTCATCCGCAAAAAGTAAATGAGAGATCTCCAACTGCTGAACTGATTCAGGGCCAATCTTGAAACCCCTAAGAAAACCCAAATCCACCGCCCTTCTCATCAGCCTGCTGAGGGCCTCCATAACAATAATAAAAAGAAAAGGGGAGAGTGGATCCCCCTGTCTCAACCCACGAGAACTGCCAAAGAACCCCGAAGGAGAGCCATTCACCAACACCGAAAACCTGACAGTGGAAACACAAGAAACAATCCACTTCCTCCATCTCTCACCAAAACCCATCCTCTCCAACAGATAGAACAGGAAATTCCAACAAACATGATCATAGGCTTTCTCAATATCCAGCTTGCACAGAACACCAGGAGTCCCACTACGAAGTCTAGAATCCACACATTCGCTAGCAATAAGAGCGGAATCCAGAATCTGTCTACCCCCAACGAAAGCATTCTGAGACTCAGAGATAACTCCATCCAGGACCTCCCTCAATCTAAAGGCAAGGACTTTTGCAATGATCTTGTAAATGCACCCGATCAGACTAATGGGTCTAAAATCCTTGATATTAGAAGCACCACCCTTTTTAGGAATAAGGGCAATAAAAGATGCATTAAGCGATTTCTCAAATCGCCTCGTGGAATGGAACTCATGAAAAGTGCCCATAATCTCGTATCGGACCACCTCCCAGCTTTCCAACAAAAATCTCATCGTGAAACCATCAGGACCTGGAGCCTTATCACCATTGCAACTCTTTAAAGCCTTCAGTACTTCCTCCTCCGAAAAAGGATTTTCCAGCCCATCTCTCTCCAAGGCAGAAATAGAATCGAAGTGAAGACCATCTAGACGAGGTCTCCAACGAAGAGGCTCAGAATAAAGTCCTTGATAGAAAGAGACAATAGCACTTCGCACCTCCTCCTCCGAAGACAAAACTGCACCATCCACACACATCCGCCCAATATGATTACTCCTCCTATTAGCATTAGCAGTTCTGTGAAAAAACTTAGTATTACGATTCCCCTCTTTGAGCCATAATGCCCGAGATTTCTGACGCCACGAGATTTCCTCCAAAAGAGCAATCTCCACACATTCTGCCTGGCAAGCTGCTCTTCTACTGCATTGAGATTCCGAAATAGCACCCTCCCCTTCCAATCGATCAATCTCCGCAATATCAGCCAAAGCCTTATTCTTCCTCCACACCAAGCTCCCAAAGACCTCCTTATTCCACCTTTTAAGATTTGTTTTCAAGATTCGAAGCTTTCCGGCAAGAATATGGCTCGATGTACCCACCACCAGATTCTCCTCCCACCAAGAATGGACAAATTCCTGGAAATTATCCGCACGAAGCCACATGTTCTCAAATCTGAAAGGAGTACTGTGAGATCTCAAACCTCCACAGTCCAAAACCAAGGGAATGTGATCTGACGTCACCCTAGCCAAAACTGCCTGAACAACATCCGGGAATTTCTCCTCCCATTCACCTGAAATCAAAAATCTATCAATGCGAGAGAAAGTTGGAACTTCCCTTCCACTGGACCAAGTAAAGGAAGCTCCCTCAAGAGGGAGATCAATAAGCTGGTGGCCATCAATAAAATCAGAAAAGTGCATCATAGCCTGGGTCCACGGGCCAACTGTAGACCTCTCCGCCGGGGATCTAACCACATTAAAGTCTCCTGCCATACACCAAGGAAGAGACCACCTCCCCTTCACCCCACTCAACTCCTCCCACAAACCATCCCTCTCAACATCATCAACCGGCCCATACACCCCAGAAAAACCCCAAGTGAAGCCATCCTCCTCCATCACAAAAGCACAAGATAAAGAAAATCTCCCTCTGCAAATATCAACTTTAGTCAGCCATCTCCTATCCCACATAATAAGAACACCTCCTGAAGTCCCAACAGCATCCAATGCCTCCCAAAGAATGCATTCGACTCCATTTGCATCAAGTTGGGAGTTTTTGATAACTACTTAGCTTGAGGGGGAGTGTCGTGAATATAGGCTGTTTACAACATGTTATTAATTGAGAGAGTTGACTATTCTATGCATATAATCTGCTAGCTTGATTATAGGAATATTCTTTTGATGTATTTAATCTGCTAGCTTAATTATAGGAATATTCTGATGCATATGATCTGCTAGCTTGATTATAGGAATTGATATTTGATTAGCTTAATCTCTGGTAATTAGCTAAATTATTGTACTGATTGTATATCTTGGGTTCCTATATAAACCCACATGTATTCATGTCTATGTATACAAGAATTCTTCTCTTCTATTTTCTAGCTCTTATTTTCAACAAAATACATTAAAAAATTGAATGAAGGAAACACAATAATACTAATACATAAAAGGTTTAATTGGTTGGTAAAGCTTTGGGAAGAGGGAAAGAGAGTGACTAGGAAGGGTGGCATGATATCCTCTCTCTTTTTTTTTTTTTTTTTTTTGGAGAACAAATTGGGAAACCAACCTTCATTGGAGGTCCCTGATGGAGGTTGATCGAAGGAACTTTATTCTGATGTCATTTGGTGATTTTGGTGGCAGTAATGGAATTTTGTTTCTCCACCAATATTTCATAATCAGTTTCGAAATTGAAATGTTTCGATTGTTTTGACTTGTAAGAAATAAAAATTTGTTCCTTGGTAACAATATAAAGAATGAAAAATTAGTTATTGAGAATTAATTGTATACTTAATTATAGAGTTGAATCAATTATAAAGCAAAAGTTGGTAACAAACTGAAACGGGTAAAATAGATGTAATATGATTCTCTTTTAGATGGGGTTACCATGATGGTCTTCAGTCCCTAAGAACTCTATGGTGTAGCATGTAATGGTATTCTAGTAGATTTTATTTGTGTGTCTTTACTGTATATATATACTTTATCATGGTATAATATCTAGATTGTTGAATCAACTTTTGAACAATAATACGCTAATGGATGTCACTATATATGACATAGTCTTATTATGTACTATAAGATTTTATAAATCTAATATTAGTATTGAACAATCACTAGAGAATTTTCTGTTAAATGAAAAGCACACAAAGTCTGCAGTTGTGGTCCTTGTAGAAAGTTCTTCCATTTTCCGTTCTCTCATTTGCCCAGTGTCCTTCAGTCATGATCATCATTTTAGTCATATCTTTTATCTTCTAAACACTTTCTGAAAGTCTCTCAGTGACGTCCACACGTTTCTGCAGGGACATAACCAAGTCACTGCTGGAAAAAGGAAGCCGAAGACGAATTTTGTGGAAGTCCGTACATTTTGGCACCTGTATAGAAGTTTTGACCGAATGTGGATATTCTTTATATTGGCATTCCAGGTACTCTTAGAGCTTGCACACGTATATTTTTTTAATAAGAATAAGTATGTTTCCTGCAATGATTTAGCTCATAGTCTTCACCATTTTCTTTGGTTTCAGGCCATGGTAATTGTTGCATGGAGTCATTCTGGATCTCTAACTGCTATCTTTGATGAGAATGTCTTTAAAAGCATTTTGAGCATATTCATCACTTCTGCTTTTCTCAATTTTTTGCAAGGTACTTGTGATTCTCTCAGTTCTTGGTATTCTCTTTCCATATCATATTTTTAGTTATGGTGACAACCCTCCATTTCTTGTTACATTTAGTATTTGTAAGTGTTTGCTTTTGTCATTGATAGTTGTTTTATTTAGCAGCTACGACCCAAGCCATTTCCAACCTGTTTAAATTTGCAAGACTTTTCTGTACTTCCTGAGTTTCTCTACCATTTGTTCTGCAGCTACTCTGGATATAGTTCTAAGCTGGAATGCGTGGAGGAGTTTGAGATTTACCCAAATACTCCGTTACCTCCTAAAATTTGCATTTGCTGCCGCTTGGGTCGTAGTCCTGCCAATTGGTTATTCCAGCTCCGTCCAAAATCCAACAGGACTAGTGAAATTTTTCAGTAGTTGGGGAGGGAATTGGAAGAACCAGTCATTCTATAACTACTGTGTTGCAATTTATCTGATACCCAATATATTGGCTGCCTTGCTATTTCTGCTTCCACCTTTAAGGAAATCCATGGAGCGTTCAAACTGGTGTATTATTATTGTTCTTATGTGGTGGGCTCAGGCAAGAACATTTAGCATTTGTTACTTTTAATGAAGTTTCTGTCCCTTAAACGATATTAACTTTTGTTGATTGTACACCAGCCAAAGCTGTATGTTGGAAGAGGCATGCATGAGGACATTTTCTCACTTCTGAAGTAAGAAAGAATACATTTAGTTTATCCGTCTCTCTCTCTCTCTCTATATATATATATATTTAATCTGTCAATTTTTTCTTTCTTTTTGATTTTTTTGGTGTGTGTGTGTGTGTTGGGGGGGGGGGGGGGTTTTGGGGGGATCATGTTTTGATGCTAAACTGCTAATTTTTTCTTAGTTTAGTGATTGATTGTGTGATTCTGGCTTGATATTGCAATTCTTTTCTTTCTTACCCCACTAATAGAATAACATTTCATGTGCTCAGGTATACATTATTTTGGATCATGCTGCTTATATGCAAGCTAGCATTCAGCTACTATGTGGAGGTGATCTTGTTCTCCTTGGACACTAACTGTGTGAATTTGGTTTCCTTGATGGATTAAAAGTAATACAAATGTGGAACATACATTAAATTATACACTCATTGGTATGTCTGCATTTATGCATGTGTTTGTTTCTTATGCATAATTGAATTACAATTGATGCTTTTATGCTCTGAATTTAGTATTATTATTATACAACAAATTAATCCAATAGAATGATTCATCTTATTTGCTTCAACCTTTATAAAGGTTGGCATGAGCCTAGAGATTTTAGGCTTAGGCTGTTGGCAATTGTTACGACAAACGCATCGAACAAAGAACAAATCACGAAACACGACAGAAAAATAAACATGCCACTCACAAAGAACACAAAGATTTAGCGTGGTTCGACACAAGTGTCTACGTCCACGGCGAAGATCCGGTGAAAGGTTTCATTATGCGAAAATCAGGAGGTTACAAGTTTCAGTCCCCCAAATCCTTAGCTCTCGCTCTCACTTCCTTTTTCTGCGATTTGCAGTGTTATATATCAGGGGTACAAGAGAGTACTAAACATGGTAAATCATCGGTAGAGATGACAATGGGACGGGTTGGGGCGGGAAACGCCAACCCTATCCCCATCCAAAACTGTTTATTAAACGTGGCGGGCAGGGCGGGGCGTGTTTAGTAGAGTAATTTTGCAATTATATTATGAATCTAACAAAGGTAAATTATGAAACAATTTTTCAACCATGGTAGTAATTCCTTTTCTCTTATCTGGATAAAAACAAGATTCAACTTCTCAATTAGAACTTTAGACATGAAATTATTGCAGGAACATCTAAGTAATAAATAGAAGTTCTCAAATAAGAATAATATAAAAGTATAGTTAAAGATTGGAATAGAATAAACTAGGATTTGCTTAATACATACATAATATTATTATTGAATATAAAAATAAAGTACAAGGCCAAAATTGTAATTTATCACTATAAACGGGGCGGGGCGACCTTTCCCCATCCCCGCCCCATAACCATGTGGGGTTTCAATCCTTACCCCCATCACCACCCCAAAACCATTTAACCATCCCCACAACTGTTCTAAACGGGGTGGTGAGGGATGTGTACCCGACGGGTTGGGGTATTTTGGCATTCCTAATCATCGGGTCGAAAACAAGTCGCAATGCGACCCGAAACCAAATTCAGGCCACAACGTCACAGTAATCATCACTGCAAATAACACAGAAAGTACATGTTAATTAAGACTGAATAGATGAAGAAAGATTCAATGAATTGACAACGTTATGCAAGTTAGAGGTTGAGAGCAACCACTTTGTGCAAAAATAATGTCAAAGGTTAGGCTTGCTCCAGTGTTTCCCAACAATCCATATAGGCTGTACCAGCATTAGGAAATGGCCATTTACAGTAAGACAATTATTTGAAAGCTATGTAACCAGGGTAGAGACTACGATGTGTTCCAAAATACAACTGAGATCAATTCAGACAGTAGTGTGTGAACTGATCCCAATTGATCTCAGCCGTCCACTGCAGTACAGGACCTGTGCTGTACTACAGAGGAGCTGGACTCATATGAATGATGGGCAAAATGTAAGTGTATTTCTTTTACTTGAAAAGTTGATGAAGGAAGAGAGTGAGTGCTTAATAGTACAAATCTTGACAGGAAGTTAGAATAATTTGAAGAACTCTGTAGGATAATGCCAATCATTTGGTCTATACCCAGTCTCCTCCCCAACACCTTGGATTTCTGGGAACCAGCATAGGGTGATGACCTGTACTAAATTTTGATGCCACTTGCCAATTGCAAGAAGGCCACTCGTCAGCTGGTCTTGATATTCTTTTATTTAGTTTTACATTTTGTGCATTCTTTGATCTAACTTTATTTCTTTTTCTTTTTCTTTTTCTTATTGATAGTTGTCATGTTCCTGGTCTTTCTAAATTGTCATGTGACTGTTGTGTGATCTTTTTATGAATTTTGAAGGGTCTGAGATTATTAATAATCAAGGGGAAAGACCGTAGGGTTTCTGTTGCTCCAGTATAAATACTTTTTAAGTGTTTCTTGTGATTGAAATATATGAGAAAGACTGATTTAGAAGAGCTCAATGATTTGCTGTGCACGTTACCTATTCAAGACAAAGGCATAAACCCATCACCTCCTTTTGCATTGCACCATAGCCAGAGATTATTGGGATTTGATGCCTGGTTTGTTTGGAGTTCTGTGGGTCATGCCCAAATCCTCCAGAGGGTTAATTGAGGCTTGGAGAGGTTGTATAGTGGGGGCCCAAGTTCGGGATATTTGGAGGGTTACGCCTTTGTGTGTCTGGTGGTGTATTTGGCTCGAGAGGAACAAGAGATCTTTCGAAGGAAAGGAGAATCCTATATCTATGCTTAAGTTCTCTATTATTTCCACTCTTTTTTGTTGGGTTGTGGGGAGATATTATATCTTTAGAGGAGATTGTCGATTTTTTGGGCTTTTTGAATGCTTAGAGGCCCTATTTGGCCTTGTGTAGTTCTCTTGGATGTGCTCCCCTTTTGAGTGCTTTTATACAATTTTACTTACAATATATATATATATATATATATATATATATATTTTGGTAGTAATGAATACAGAGAGGAAGAATAATTTCAATACATTTTTAGACCTTTTGGGAGCATATTACCATATTGAAAGAAAGACATGGCTATTAGTTTATTACTCCATCTCAAGCCAGGTTATATAAAGATTCTAGTTACCAATGCACACAAATCGCTGTTATGTAGCATGGTTAAAGACAAACAAAATAGATGTATATGAAAAATATTTCTTGAATACAACATTTTATGAGACATGGGTCCAATTATTAAGGTGCACATAATTGACAACCTTGCATGTCTATGATGAGGTTCAAAGCTTAAAGGAAACTTATAGTTAGTTGTCTTGACCAAAAATTGCGTTCTTGAAGTTTCATCCACACGTATTTGTTTCAGGTGACTATTAAGAAGGCCTTTTAAAAGCTTTAAGTTGTTATATATTCACTTAGCCCTGAGATTAATCTTGCAAATACCTTCTAGAACTTCAAGACATGCAATTACTTTCCCAAAGTAATTTTTATGCTCTAATTTTACATTTTGTTAAAATAGATATTGCCATTAGTTCAACCTACAAAGACGATCATGGAGATAAAAGTTAGTAGCTATGAATGGCATGAGTTCTTTCCAAACGGTAATACTCCAGATACTTTCATACTTCATACTGAATTTTGTTTCTGTTAAGGCTATGGCCTGAACTAGGCTGCGTTTTGAACATGATGCAGTAACTTATAACATTGGTGTTGTTATTGCCATATGGGCTCCTATTGTCCTGGTAAGTGGACCGCAGAAGCATTTATGATGATAATGTTAATTGGTGTTTATGCTGTTTTATATAATACTAAGAAAAATTATGGTTTATAGGTCTATTTCATGGATACACAAATATGGTATGCCATATTCTCTACCATTTTTGGTGGGATTTATGGAGCCTTCAGCCACCTGGGTGAGGTTAGTGGTCATATTGTTCCATTACCATGATAAAACAAGATAAACAAATTGTGTTTGTAGTATATAAAACAGTGAAACACTTGGATAGGTGGTTTTCCTGCAAAGATGATTTTATTTATTAGTTACTTGATTGCATCATGTTTTGTTGCTGATTATAACATGTTTTCTTGTTGACTTTTGCACTATACTTGTTTTCTTTAATTAGATACGGACTCTTGGGATGCTACGATCCAGATTCGAAGCTGTTCCTTCGGCTTTCTGTAAACGTCTTGTGCCATCACCGGAAGGGGGAACCAAAAGAGATGATTCGGTAGTGCTAACTTTTGTCCATATTCTCTTAAGTCTCTGGAACTCCAGCACTTATCGTATCAGCTATATGTGCAACCAATATATTCTTCAATTTACGGAGATTTTTTTATTTTTAAAAATCCAATATATTCTTTTGATGTGCAACCTTTCAAATATGACTTGGTGTCTTTGTGCTCATTGTGTCTGGTACTTCTTAGTCTTTTTTGTCTGAAGTAAATATTGGTATTGCAGGTTGATGCATCGGAAAGAAGGAATATTGCAAAATTTTCTCAGGTGTGGAATGAATTCATATATTCTATGCGGATGGAGGACTTGATCAGCAATAGGTTGAGATAACTTTTTCCTCAAACACGTTTTATATATTTAAAAGGCCTTCAAATTAAAATTCAAGAAATTTCCATCTCCTTTTGAAATGTCTAGAGAGAGAGATCTGCTTCTTGTACCGTATTCATCAAGTGAAGTCTCTGTTGTCCAGTGGCCTCCTTTCTTGCTCGCCAGTAAGGTACAAGCTTTCACGATTTTACTTTTCATTGAAAGGTTTGCATTTTTTATGACTCATATTTTTTTTTTTTTTTTGGGCGTATTCACATAAGATTCCAATAGCATTAGACATGGCAAAAGATTTCAAGGGAAAGGACGATGCTGACTTGTTTAAGAAGATCAAGAGTGATGACTATATGCATTCAGCAGTGATTGAATGTTACGAGACACTCAAGAAAATATTATCTGGCCTTCTTGAAGATGAAGGAGATAGGAGGTAAGACAGATCCAACTATCAGATTGTGCTTGTTTGATGACCTCTGATGCCAAAGGACCACATACAATTTTTATCATCATAACCAATCATTCTTGTGTCATTGTTCTTTGACAAAAAAAGCCTCGTGGTTATTTGTTCCTCATTATGCAGGATCATTATGCATATATGTGAAGAAGTAGATGATAGTATAAAAAAAGAAAAATTTCTTAATGAATTCCAGATGAGCGGGTTACCTCTGCTCAGTGATAAATTGGGGAAGTTCTTAAGCTATCTGGTAATATGCTTATATATGTTTATATACTATGTCATCAATTATTTATATGTTTGCGTTGAAATTTTACACTTTTTGGACTTGATACTTGTTAGTTGTGGGTACTTAATTTGGTATTCTGACAGCTAGCTGATTCCGAAAATGTTGAGACATACAAATCCCAGATCATCAATGTGCTCCAGGATATCATGGAGATTATCACTCAGGATATTATGAGCAACGGTCATGAGTAAGTTTCGAGAAATAAATGGTTATTTGGGCTTTATTAAAAAATTTCTCATACTATTTCTCCCATGATTCATATCTGCTATGGGTTTCCCCTTCTATATGTAGAATCCTGGAAAAAGCTCATGCACACAACCTGAAAGATGAGCACTCAAATAAAGAGCAGAAGTTTGAAAAGATAAACATTCAACTCGCACAAAATAGATTCTGGACAGAGAAGGTATATGGTGGTCAAACTAACATTTGAAATGAATTGCAAATTTTCTAACACCCTTTGCTCTTGTATTCCATTCTTGCTCCTTGCTGTTCTTCTCCACAGGTTGTTAGGCTTCATTTGCTTTTGACTGTCAAGGAATCTGCCATAAATGTGCCAATGAATTTGGAAGCTCGTCGCCGTATCACTTTCTTTACAAACTCTTTATTTATGAAAATGCCAAAAGCTCCGAAAGTTCGTAACATGCTCTCTTTTAGGTCAGTTTCTTTCGAATAGAGCTTTGTTTCTGTCATATGAAGCTTTGGGTTCCTGAATTCTTGCATAATTCGATTTATATTCTACTTATCAAAAGAATAATAATTAGATTTATATTCCACTTCTCTTGATTCTTAGTACTTTCTTCTGAAGTGAAGTTCAATATGAGGACAACATTTGGTGCACTAATTCTAGCACACTGTGATGTAGGACAAGAGAGCAGCCTTAAATATTTAAGAACTTAAAGAATTCAGAGGCTGAAAGTTCAAACAACTAGGGCTGAATTTTGGAGGTTTGATAGTAGAAATGCAGAAAAATCAAGGAGAAAAGAAATAGAATAAGAGCTGCCTATTGGAATCACACCTAGGGAAGGCCTCACACCCTCATATCTTGTGAATCACTCACAAACAAAGTTCAACGACATTTTTATTCATTCATTCACAGAGTCACCAAGTTTACATCCTACCCTTTTTATAGCAAGTTATGCCCTTCTGATTACTCCATAATTGAAGTAATCATACTAACTGATGCAATTCAGCCCATAATTGATGCAATATACCATAACTATGCAATATGACCCAATCCCCCAATTATGCAAGACTCCAAGTGGACCCCCACATCATCTAGCATGTGTCAAATTAAGGCTTGAGCCTTAGAACCCTCCATCCCATGCCTTTTATACACTTTAAAAGGCTGCTGCCACTGTTCTCTATTGCACTAACTCTTTTAGGGGGTAGTGAGGCTATAATTCATTATTTACATACCCTTTTTTGTGTTGCAAATAAAATTAAATTGTTTAGTTTGAGAGTTTACAGAGTCTTTGACCTCATAAATTTATAACTAGTCTTTTCTGTATTCTTGTTCATTTCCAAGAAAATATATCCGCATTGCCAAGATTGACTGATAGGGTGCACTGAAGTATTGTGCGAAGTGTAACGCACTTATACCGTATATTTTGTCCCTTGACCTTGAGACCTAAGTAAAATTCTAGTTTTTTTATTTTTTGTACTTTCTACCGTCACAACTTCTAAGGTAGCTGCTGTGACCACCATGTAGCATTGAGGTAATGATTAACAAGGGGTTGTATACATAGTGTTTGTTCTGTAGGCTAGAATTTGTGAAAAAGGCAATTCAATAGGATCATAAAAGGAAAGAATAATTATTATAAAGTTTCATAAATGTTGTTGATATATGTACTGTTGAAAGATATAAAAATTGAAAAGAGAAATTAAACATGAAGAACAAAAGGATAGACACACAAAGCCCAAAGGGCTGCATCACTTTTATTATATTCTCTCTTTTTCATACTCAATACAATGGTGGAGGCTCCTCTATATAGGAGAGAAATGATGATAATGGAAAGAGAGAGAAAATAGGAAACAATAGCAATACTAGAGGATTATTCTCCATTGATTCCTTTAGCAACGGTAAATCTTCAATAATAGGAAAGAGCATCAATACCAGAGGATTTTCCTCCACTGATTCCTCCAGTAAATCTTCAACACTCCCCCTCAAGTTGAAGCATGAATGGCATGAATGTCCAACTTGCCATTGAGATGGCAAGTAGCAGCAAGTACAAATCATGAAGAGGTGTAACTAGATAACCTCAATAAAAATGGATCCAGAGATCCAAGACGAGTAGCAGCAGCCTCAATTGATGAAGAGGTACGTGTAAGAAGAAAACCTCAATAAAAATGGATCCGGAGATCCAAGAAGAGTAGCAGCAGCCTAGATTAATGAAGAGGTGTAAGAAGACGGCCTTAATAAAACTGGATCCGGAGATCCAAGAAGAGAACCAAAAATGGCTCTGATGAAAAGAGAGAAATGAATACAGAACCTTGTTTGCTTTGATACCATGTTGAAAGCTAAAGCTAAATATTAGAGAGAAGAAGGAGAAGAATTGTTTGTATCTCTTATTTCATATTCCAAAAAGATGATTACAATAGGTATATATAATATTCTCCAGAACATAAAATAAAGAAGGTGGTAGGTGAGTGCAGAGCAAGAAATGTATCTAGACCTATTGTGCGTCTAGATAAATACATCATGTTTAAAGTATGAATGCTGTAATCATATCCCTAAATAAATGAATAGTTGACTACGAGTTGTATTCACAACACTCCCCCTCAAGCTGGAGAGTAGTTGTCAATGACTCCCAACTTGCCGCAGATAGAATCGATAGTGTGCTTGGGAAAGCCTTAGTAAAGATATCTGCTAACTGATTACCAGACGATACGAATGGAGTCATAATTTCTTTTGAAGTCATCTTAGAACGAATGAAATGACAATCAACCTCAATATGTTTGGTTCGCTCATGGAAAACCGGATTACCGGCAATGTGAATAGCTGCCTGGTTATCGCAATAGAGAAAAGATGGGTCTTGAACAGAAAGCCCGAATTCTTGTAACAGAGTTCTCTACCAAGTTAGTTCACATGAAGTATGAGCCATTGCACTGTACTCAACTTCAGCACTTGATCATGTCACAACCAACTGCATCTTACTTTTCCAAGTGACTAAATTACCTACTATGAAAGTACAATAACCAGTCGTTGATCGTTTGTCTGTCTGAAGGAGAACCTGTCCAATCAAAATTAGTGTAACCTTCGATGTGCAAATTTCCAGACGACTGATAAAGAAGACCACGACCCGGAGCTCCTTTGAGATACTTAAGAGTCCGTATAACTATTTCCATGTGAGGGACTCGTGGGCTGGCCATAACTAACTCACAACACTGATTGCATAGGCAATATCTGGTAGAGTAATAGTTAGATAAATCAGCATACCAACAAGTCGTCTCTGCATCTTTGGATCATCAACCAAGTCACCAACATCAGGAAATAGCTTCAGATTAGTCTTCATGGGAGTTGCTGCAGGTTTAGAGCCAAGATAACCCGTATCCTAAAAGATATCAAGAGTATATTTTCTTTGAGATAAATAGATGCCTTTCTTCGATTTTGCAACCTCAATACCAAGAAAATAGTGGAGCTTGCCCAAGTCTTTAGTGAGAAAATTTGAACCCAAATGATGAATCAAGGTTTGAATCCCCTTCTTGTCGCTCCCAGTAATGACGATATCATCCACATAAACCACCAAAATTACAATGCCACAATTTGTCTTATTTAAGAAAACTGAATGATCAACTTGGCTTCTAGTCATGCCATGAGCAATCACTACCTTGCTAAATTTATCAAACCATGCATGAGGTGACTATTTGAGTCCATAAATAAACTTCTCGAGGTGACAAACACACTCCCCCTTGGACTCAAACCTAGAAGGTTGAGCCATGTATACTGTGTCAGTAAGATCGCCGTAAAGAAAAGCATTTTTGATATCAAGTTGATGGAGAGGCCGGCAGCGAGAGAGATAATTTTGCAATTGGAGTTCAGCTTAGCTACAGGAGAGAGACTCGGTATAGTCAATACCATACGTCTGAGTGAAACCCTTGGCAACAAAGCGAGCCTTTAAACGATAAACAGTGCCATCAGGATTCTGTTTCACTGTGAAAACCCAACGACAACCAACAACATGAGCACTTGCAAGCTTTGGAAGTAGATCCCAAGTATGATTCAATTGTAAGGCATGCATCTCCTCTTCCATAGCTTCTCGCCAGCCAGGATGGGTAATAGCCTCCTTGTACGACTTAGGAATAGTAATAGATGACAGGGATAAAGAAAAGGCTTTAAAGGAAGGTGACAAATGGTTATAAGACACAAAATGAGCTATAGGAAGATCAATACAAACCCTTCTACCTCTGCGAAGCGCAATTGGAAGATCAACATCAGACTCAGAAGGATGATTAGTCTGATCTGTAGGTACCGAGGAAGATGGTGGAGGATCTAAGGAAGGCTCTACCTGTTCAACCGCTGGAGCAAGTGGCCCTGGGCAGTGGTAGGAGAATGAGAGGTATTCTTGTGATGTCGCTGAGTATAGACCCGAGTAGTGGGAGGAATATCAGGAACCGGAGATGATAGAACAATATCCGGAGATGGTAGAACAATGTCTTGTAAAATAGGTTCCTCCAGTTAGCTAGCAGCCTCAGAATAATATGGAACATGCTCAAAGAATGTTACATTGGCACACACAAAATGTTTTCTCAGAGAGGGTTGTAGCACCTATATCCTTTATGAGTGCGAGAATAACCCAAAAATATACATTTATAAGCTCGAGGGTCAAGTTTGTCCCGTCTTGGATTTAAATTATGTACAAAACAAACGCACATAAACACTTTTGGAGGAATGGGAAAGCGTTCTTTACCAGGAAACATCATCTGAAAAGGTGATTTTCCTTTAAAGACCCGAGACGACATTCTATTCAATAGATATGTTGAAGTAAGAATTGCGTCTCCCCAAAAATGTTTAGGTACATTCATTTGAATCATTAGAGCCCGGGCAATGGTAAGAGTTGGCCGGTCCCTTTCTTTCAACAATCCCATTTTGTTGGGGAGTATCAACGCAAGAAGTTTGATGGGTAGCACCTCTAGACTCAAGAAATTGCTGAAAGAGAGAATCTCTATATTCAAGAGCATTATCAGTTCGAAGAATATGTAACTTAGCATTCAACTTATTAGTTATTTCTACATAAAAATATTTAAACACATCAAAGACTTGAGTGCGATTTTTAAGAACATATAACCAAGTTAAATGAGACTAGTTATCAATAAAAGAAACAAAATACTTACTTATCAAAAAAAAAAAAATAACGGGCACCAGCCAATCCAGTAGTTCGGGTTGGACTCCAAACATCATCAGAGTGAACAAGTTCAAAAGGGCGTAAACAAGGTCCATCAGTCCTAAGTCTAATGGAATCCCTATGATGCTTGCTAAGTTCACATGTTTCACTATTAAAATTAGAAAAACTAGGTAAGGAAGGAAACAAATTCTGAAGATTATCAGACGAAGGATGCCCAAGCCGACGGTGCCACTTATATGGAGAAGTCGAGGTATGGAGCGCAGACGAAATAGGCGAACAATACGGCTGAAAGTAGTAAATCCCATCCTTTTC